CTTTATGCTTTCCTGACGTTTATAAGGCAGGAGACTTACACTCAGCAAATAAAACCCAAACATGCACTTGCACAGGCATACATTCACTCCTTAGCATATTTTCAAACTCGAAAATATCATTACCATATTCATTCAATATGAAGATACATTTCATTAGATTGTAGCCAAAATATACACTATCTTCCATGTTTGAATCAGAAGTTGGTGCAGCAGTCTGAGCAGTAGTGGAGTGGAAAGCAGTGTAGCACAACACAGCTCTCAGAGTGTGTAATGAAGATAAATTAAGACGTTTTGTTCGCGGATAGTGCTGTGTTAGCTCAAATGCTGCGGATTGCCATCTCCTTAGCCTTTTCTTGGGAAATTAGGATTCACTCAGCTGCAACATCACACACCACCTTGCAAACCGCAGATGTCAGATACTTGCGTCGTTAGAAGTGTGAAAGTGTTCATTCTCACACTGACAGAAAAAGAGACAGACTTGAGTGAAGGAAGATTATGTAAAGAACTGGTTCTGCCAAACGCTATGACTGATCAGACAGGTGTTCCCGCCATCCTGTTGATTCCTATAAGACACTACAGTAACTCATGGGACTCCACCGTTAGTTTGGATCTACTTGCATCTTAATTATAAAGTTGAACAATCTAAAACCCTACATAGTTCAGACAGTCAACTTCACCATTTCATCGGCTTCACATGTTTGGTTGTTTTCTGACACACGCCCATGTGCAATTTAAATAATTGGTTGTGTTGTGAAACGGGGAGGTGATTTGTTTCTGATCATTTCCTACATTCTGCCAGCAGCTCACAGATTTTACCCGCCAATATCATACAAAGTTTGGCTCAACAGATCAGTAAGTCCTGAATCCTGCCATACAACTCATCCCACCACTTGTCATTTGTTAGCAGCCCCTAATTTATAATCCTTTTCTTGCTGCAAAGCACCACCTCTCTAATTATATGTGATTGCCATGTTCCTACCACCAACAACAGGTTGTCATTTTCTGCATCTTGAAGGACAGTTTTAATGAGCATCAAGGGTAGACTTCACTAAACTATAAGAGAGAAAGTTCAAGCTTTCCTATTTACTATCTTCCTTAACTGTAATTATGTTTCATATGAAAATTGTGGGTTTGCAGTTGGTTAGTCTCAGTGTCCAGAAGGAAAAGACATATCAGACAATTGTGTAAAATGAGCTTGGGCTTCGTAAATGTTGGATAAATATATCCTTTACTGCTGACATTGTGTGGTTGCCATATAGCCTAGCATGTTCAAGGTCAGGCGGTGTGTTGGGCCCAGTGGTTCAGCAATTACCTGCAAATGAATTGTAGTAACATCCACAGACCATTCAGATTTAGTTCCCAGTGATAACCGCATCACCTCTGTTCCCAATATTTCATGCTCTCAGGCAGCCTATAAAGCGTGCAGTGTACTCCAAACAAAACCAAAGTCATTGTGTTATCATCACAGGCAATGTGGCAGGTTTGCATCTGAAAAGAAACGCTGCAGTGGACTTTGAGGTGTGTACATCTTGTTCCTGTTGCTCTGTTAATCAAAATAAAGTGATTAGTGGTGCTTTTTTGGGGGGGGCTTTTTCTGCATTTTATGTGGATAGTGCAGAAATGGGCCACAGGTTGGAAACTGCTCTGCTATGGCAAGGACCCCACCGAGCGAGCCAGCGCGGCGCCCTGATTAGTGGCGCTTTTAACATGTGACCTTAAGGGTCAGGTTTCTGCTTTATCTTTAGCTTAATTACACCTTCCTTATCTTCTTTGCACTTTGGGTAGATTCACCACCAACATGAATCATCTGCAGGAAACGTGTGTGTAACATACATCACCCCAAAATATTAAAACATACACTGTTGGAGACAGAACAGGCTGTGCTCATGATTGAGGATGATTATTCATTTTTTGACTGCTTGTGATTTTTGCTTCACAACTTTTTTTTAACACTTTTGCACATGCAAGGGGACTTCTCTGCTGAATGGATGTCACTGCATTAGAGATAATAGTATATATTCACTCTGTTGAAACAAGAACACAGAACTGACATGTAGTTTTAAAATAAAAGACAAATTGAATACTCCATATCCTTAGAATTTAAAACAGAATGCAAGACTGGGAGGCAGAGACCTAAACTACTAAGCTTAAGGTAACAGATATGTGAAATAATAGGCTGTCCTCTGAAATATATTTCACAGTGTATACTATAAGCAAAGCTCTCCAAACGATATCAGTGCCAACAAGCAAAGCTGTAAGAAGGACCCTTAAAATACTGCTTTTAAAAAGATGGCATCTAAGAGCTGATAAGAGCTACAAGCATTGGAATGGATCAATTGTGCAATAGGAAGAGCACTCAGTCATGGGTACTGTTTAATTAATGATGGGGGGTAGAGATAGGCTGTTAGCTCCATATTGTCAGTCAAACACTCACAGAGGGTGGCAATGTGAGCTATGTAAGGGATACGTGAAACAGAAGGAACTAATCTATACTCTCCAGTCTAGTACCATTAATGTTGTGTTAAGAGGGCAGGGACGCTGCATTTCTTCTGAATGCAGAAGACCAAAGGCAATTAATAAATACACAATAGTGGGAAATATTGGGAGACAGTTTCATATTTTCTTACAAATTGGACATTTTGGTGCTGCTTTGGTTAAAAAAAAGATAAAAGAAACACACTGTGCTGAACACGTACCTTTTTATCTTGTCCACCAAAGCTTGTTTATTTTAATTGACAGAAACCATTCCATTTTTAAGCCTGACATAACTCTTTATACTTCCATTTTACAGGAGAAACAAGTAATCCAACAAATGTACATTAAAACGCTTCTTCTACATGTTTACTTTTATCAGAATGAGTTGCTTCACCTTTATATATAGAATTACTCATTGCTCTTCTTTTACTAGTGTCTAAATGAAGAAAGGGTTGAATAAGAGCGCAACCCCCCTCCGAGGGAACTGCTTTAAAACAGACATTCGATAAGTACAAAAACTGGACTAATTGTATCAAGCTTCAAACAAAAGTCTTTTCCATAAAATGCCCCTCCCAATCTGAATTTAAAGCTCAATGAGGCAGTAATGTGGCTTATTGATTAGTGAAGCCCACGTGGATCTAAAGCCAGTTGTGACCATCGATAGCCACTTGCCCCATCAAAAGAAAAATCCTCCGGCGAGGCATTAAACCCCCACCTGTCACTCTCAAACTAATAGTTAGACTTAGTGAGTGTTAGCCAGCTTAACCATGTGGGTTAAAAACAAACCTTAAACTAGAAAAATACTAACAAAACAGTGTGTAAAAAATTTGCCTTTTAGCATGGATGTATGAAGCTCGTCTACCAAAAAATAGTGTACCAAGAGTCTCCCAGAGGCCTTTATGTTAGGGAACAGAGTGTTTACTGCCCTCGTGGTATCAGTGATGAACAATATTAAAAAGATAAATATCATACTAAAGCTTTATGTAGATATTTTCAAAATACAGTAAGCAAAGAAACAATCCAAGGCGAAATAAAACGATGGCATGTGAGTTTGTGCACATTTTCTTCAGTGTGAATAATACATATATTAACACTGATTAATATTCTGCAGTAGTGTTGCTATGGTATATAAATACCATGGTATATTGTGGTATGGAAATTGTCATCATACTGTGTAGCTACATGGCTTGGGAACCGGAGGGTCGCCGGTTCAAGTCCCACAGACCACAAAATATGGAGTGTGGTCTGGTAGCTGGAGAGGTGCCAGTTTCACCTCCTGTGCACTGCAGAGGTGCCCTTGAGCAAGGCACCTCACCCCAAGCCTGCTCATAGGGCACTGTTAATGTTACAGCCCCATCACTCCACCATCTCTCTCCCTGTTTGCATGTCCACAAGTGCATGGAAGTGTGTATTTCAGCCTGTGTGTGTGTGGGTGTGTGTGTGTATAAAAAAAATAAAGAGTGAAAAGAATAATTTCCCCCAGGGGATCAATAAAGTATATCTTCTTCTATTGAATTCTATTCTATTAAAGGGTTAAAATTACAAATTAAAGCTCCTTCGGTTTTCATTCATTTAAGGGGCATTGTAACAAATATATATAACTGTGTAATACCGTTTACCATTAAAACAGTGACACTGAGACATGCAGTGAAAATCTCATACTGTTGCTGCTCTATAGAACATCATAGTTATGTAAATAGAATAAATGTTAAAGCAACTTTATGTAACTGTTCTACCGTAAAAGGTTCAAAGTGATTTTGATGCCATTCTGACTTGAAATAGGTAGAATGGTGCCTGTGTCATTCCCAGGTAATTTTTTCCCCCCAGGATGGCGAAGTCATGACCCGCCCTACCCTGTCTATAAATGGAATGCTTACTAGCCAATCAGAGGCAGAGTAGGGCGGGTCTTGACTTTGCCGTCCTGCGGGGGGAAAAAAATTAATTAAATTAAAATTGCGGTCTGCCCCTGATTTTGGTGAAGCTAGGTTATGTTTTATAGAGAAAATGGTTTCTGATTTACGGGTTTTCTGATGAACAGAAAGCTTCATTTGTTGCTGCTTGCTATGTCGTGTGTGAAGGGCTAGTTTTTAAACGTAAGTAATGTAAACACAACACATGTACAACTTATGTACGCGAATTGTACTGTAAACTGGGGACGCCAAATCGTGAACAATATTAATTCTAAATATTAAAGCTTTAATAACACTATGTAATTTATTGATTCTAGAAGCGTAGTTACAGACTGTGGCCACTGGAGGGCACTGAAAACTGTTAAACCGCTTTGATAATAATAAATAGCGTGTAATTAAAATAAATAATAAAATAAAAGGTATTTAATATATTCATTTTTAGCTGACACTTTGGTAACCCAACTTGTTTATCAAAATTACCCCCCAATTAGTGTAAACAGGGGGCATAACCTAACGTTAATGCCACTCTTTGCACACAGCACATTTTTTTTAAACCCCCCTTTCACTGAGCCAACTTTACCATTTTCCATAATCATTAAGGGAACAACCTATAAACAGGTTGTAACCAGGATATACTCAGTGGCAGAAACTGATGCGATGCCACTCCTCATAACTAACTGAGGGCCACCTTTTTTATTTTATTTATTTATTTATTTTCGCTCCCTCAACAGCACCAGTGAGACGGGATGCTGCGCTGCAGAGAGAGCCTCAGCCAGCCGGCTGCAGCGGTGGAGACTGACTGAGAGGAGACCAAAACCAAAACCTCGATCCACCACGACGCACAGCACCGGCACAAAGCTCCCTGAAGTGGAGGAAAAGGTTGGACGCTCGAAGGGGGGGTTGGCGGAAAGAGCTGGACACCGAAAGAAATCACATCTATTCATTGGTATTTTTTTTTATTTTTTTTATTTTTTCTTTACTTGAGGATGTACTGTTTACGCTGGCGAACCACATAGAGCGGCAGAGACGAGGACCCGGACTTGATATTCGCAATATCGCTGCCATTCCGCCGTTTGGGTCGGGAGGGAGAGACGCTACTGGCGGTCACCACAGCCGGTATCATCTGGGAGAGAAAAGAAAAAGTGAGACGAAGGAGGACTTTTTTTTATATATATATATATTCAGTGAGTAAACTATTTTACTTGAGCGTTTCCATTTGTTTGTGCTCGGGTTGTAGCTGCGGCTGTGTGAGTGAACGCAGATTGTTTCTCAGAGACTTCTGCTGACAATGCTGCTGATAATACCCATGTTCAAAAATCATCTCAAAGGAGCTGAATAGTTTTGGACGGTGTCATTCATCTAGACAAAGTCCTAATCTCCTGCCCCTTCAGTCTGGGTAATTTCTCCCCGTGTTGTTACAATAACTTCTGCCTTTTCCCTAAAGAGTCAATGAAGTCAGATGAAGCATGAGGGCGATGGAGCTGTTGAGTGTCCAGATGCACAAACACAGCACAAGTGTCATGTGAAATGAAACATTTCTTGCTTTTTATTACGCCTGAGGGGGGGGGGGGTTGAAATAATCTTTCCAGATTTGAGCACAAATTAAAGGTGTCCTACACTGAACCCCTCAGCAAGCCTTGAAACGATGCTTTGAAATGTATTTACACTGAAGTGGGTTTGAGGTGTTACTGCTTTTGATGGGAGCTCAAAGGGACCCGTGAAGATATATTTTTATTTATTTTTATAGCAAAAGAAAAGAGCTCTCCTGGAGGAGCAGAGGCAGGTCCTTCTTGTTTTTTTTGGGAGTGCATCTTTAGGTTAGCAGAGCAGGAGGCTTCTAACACACCACTTACCACACAAGTAGACCCACAGGAATTATCTAATCAGAGATATGCAAATTTCCCAAACTCTAATTTTGCGGCTTCGCTGCGGTTGAATGTTTAGTATAATACTATCATCTGACTGTGCTGGTGACAGTTGGTTTGTGCATTGTGGCCTGGGGGTGCACAGACTCTTGTTTGATCTTATTGATTTGTTTTTTCAGAGCTGTGTTTGGACAATGAGCAAGGGGTATTATTAAGCCATTATTCAATTAGGAGTATTATTTCCAATTTCTTCTTGAAGTTTGTGTGACTTTCTTTTCAATGACAGCAATTAGCCAAGTGGTGGCGGCTAGAATAGAGACTGCCGAAGGAAAATACAAGCTTTTGAAGTGTGTCTGCTGTCAGTAAACCCCCCCCCTTGCTGCAGTTTTTCTTCATTTTTTAATGCAGGTCCATTCAGAGACATGAAGAAACACCTGACTATTTTAAGGCCAGTTTCTAATTTAAAGTCACAAAGTATGTCACTACAATATTCAAGACTCCTGAAGATTTAAACCATGAACCTTTGGACCAGTTTCCCTTTCTAAAAATACAGGATCTAGTTTTGGCATGCATCAGTCACTTCAGAATTTGACACAAATTATGTTCAGATATAGTGATACTTTAGAAACGCTGCTGATGAAAGGATTTCTGATGTAAACGGCATCACAGAACATGAGAGAGTACCACTTCCAATATGTGGCTCAGAGGCTATCAAATAGGAAGAAGTCAACTAGGAAAAAAAAAAAAAAAAAAATGGAAATATTTATTTTTTCTTTAATAGAAATGTTTTTTGCTGTTCTATGAATCATGATGCTCAAAATGATCATGTGACGCATGCGGTGGGTCCTGACCCCCCTCCAGTTGAGTTACATATTATATTGTGTGTGTGTGTGTGTGTGTGTGTGTAAGTGTGTAAGTAAGAGTGGGGTATGTACAAAGGAAAGTAGCCTACTCAGTCTTTTTTTGCTTCAAGCACAATTTCATTCACATTCTTTGATGGATTGTGAGTTGAGCACATCTATCTTCAACTGTTATGTCACACATACCGTACTGTAGTAGTGTTATATCGTTGCAACATGGTTGCAATCAATTTTCAATTTAGCTAAGATGTAAAGAAATTCTAGCCAATTCAGCAAAATCGTTTGGCTTTTTGTTTTCTTGCACAAAGTGCTCTTGTGACTTTTTTTTTGTCTCTGGCACAATCTAGTAAACATTTTTTCTGTAGAGGCAGGCTCAGTATTTAACTTTAATTAATGAATTTTACTCTGATGTGTAAAAAATACTAAATATTGTTTTTAAATGTACAATGATTTGAATCTTACCTGTACAACTGTAAATCAGTGCTCAAATCATGTAACCTATGTCACAGTCTAATGCTGCCTGGCTTCCTGTTAGTGTTCAACAGCATCCATTAAGACTTAACGATGGAAGCCTAACTTGAAGTCATGGTTGGGATTTCAAATGGGCTATAAATTGCCATAATGTTAATCTAGATATATATTTCATGAGACCTAATGTGCTTAAACGATTGTCATAGCAGCCCACTCCACCACTTAGTTTAATTTCCTGAGATCATTTGAAAATGGTTCATCTCTCCAGGGGATGCATAGTCGGAGTCGCCAGACACAGTCCTAATCAAAACGGAGCTTCACCTGAATGTCAGGGGGACTGGATGGAGGGAATGAACAGCTGTGCCTGTTTCACTTGGCACGAATTAGAGGTTACCTCCACTATCCTTATCGAATGTAAATCAGGTATTTGCTGGCAATACATGCTTTAAAAAAATGTTTGTAAATCCACTTGGGGGCAGGTGTGAGATGGAATGTAAATTAGCAGATCGGCTAACCTTGATTGAAATGGAATGTGTCTTGAAGTTACAGCTGTCCCATCTTCTTAAATGAAATGGTTATTGACATGGGCCAACCGACATGTATTTAGGGTGTAGCTAATTGAAAATGACAACTCCGGTGAAGGCTATCCCTTGGGACACTTGAAAATGCATGAAAAATGCATACCAGCAGTGACAAGAGAGAGGCTAGGGATAGAAACCGTCTCACCAAGACAATGGCACCCAAGGGAGTCCTATTTTCACTGACAAATCTGAGACTAATAAAGTGAAAATGGACAAAAATTTCTTGCAGATCACAATTTGTACTCCCTGTTGTCTGGTTTTTTATATAATGCAAGCAAAGATATTCAACGACAGTGATATGGCCTCCCACTGCACAGGCGGTATAAAGAATCTAGAGTATGGAGAGCGCTATTTGTTTATTTCTGTATGGTGACAAAAGGATGGGTTGTGTAAGTGCGTGTGTGTGTTGTGCGGGGCATCCTGAAATCTGTAAACAACATGTTTTTCACTGTCCAGAGAATGCAAGGGTGTAATTTTGTTCTCAAAACACAAGAGTGACTAAGAATGTAGGTCCTCGGCATCTTCCCCTGCTAAGATTTGAGATGACATGCATTTGTTAGATTAAAGAAATGATTTTGTACAAGAACTGTTGGTAATCTTGACAGTGGTAGATCCTTCCTTGGCTGTCTTCCTATCCAGCACTTTGTTTATAAGAGAGGCCCACTGGTCTTGCAGAGCCTGGAAGACAAACGTCCCTCAGGACCCATCTGACAACTTAATTTATGTAATTGCTTAGAAGCATCTGCGTAAGAAAGACTGACTTCCAGCGTCCTCCTCCACTTGTCACTGTTATGAATGACTTGGATTTGATGTCCAGTGAGTCAAACAGACAATCTTAAGGCACATTGTTGTTGTCATACTAAAGCATGTGTGAACGACAAATAAGCACTGTTAATTTAATTACAGTGTTGCATCCTTATGGAAAACAGTTTTAGCATAACATCTTCATCTTGCATTTTTTTGCTCTGATCAGGCTCTTGATGCAGCCGGCAGATTGTACAATAAATCCATGCACCATGACAAATGTGGACATATGTTAAGCATGCATTAATGTGATTAACATGAGTGACATGACGGCATCAGTGTGTGGCATTTTGCGCTTGATTTTTGCAGCCTTCGGTAGTCAAGCAGCTGAAATAACTTGTTTTGGTTAGCGAATATGTCCCACAGCCTCAGGTTGGTTAATTACGCAGTCCTTTTATCTGTTTGTCTTTGTGCTGTCCCCATCGTGTGTTAACTTTGAGCAAGTTACTTGCAGATACCCGCAGGCCGCCGCTTAAATGGGTGTGAAAATGTTAAAGGTTATTAATTGCATGTATGGAGCGAGGCAGTGTGCTTTTGAGTATTTGTAACAAGAGCAAAAAGATTTCCTGATTTAGAATATGTGCCCTTTGTTAAGACATTAAGATGAGGCAGTTACAAAGCGAACCTGCTGCCTGTAATATTAAAATCTGTACAGTAGCACTCTTTACTCAAGGGATTTCTACTGTAGTCACATTACTCATGTGTTGAAATAGGTGGTTTGATTTGTCTTTGGAAAGAGTTTGTCAGCGAAGTGAACATCAAGTATTTGTGGAGATGGTATGGAGAGAGTAGTGATGATGGTGATGGTGGGGAATAGCCCGAGGATGGAGTGTTTTTCAGTAGGCAGCTCCTGATTTTATGTGACAGTAAAGGGCCTTATCTTCCAGGGCCATGATGAAGCACAACACTCTTTGATTTTTTATCTTCCAAACGTCTAACAATCTCATGCTTTAGACAGATTAGTGAGATGAAGGTGTAAAATGGGCTGTGCGGTTTCAGGGGAGTCAAATACAGCCAAATACAGGGTCTAAGGCTATATCTGCATCATGCTGATAGTACAAAATGGAAGATTAGCTGAAATTACTGATGTACTTTTGACCTTCAGGTTCAAGAAAGTCAAAAAATATGATTCGTCTTATGGCACGATTTGTTATTTTTGCGCTAGTAAACAATAATAGATGTGGCAGACGGTGTGAATGGGAGAAAAAGGGGATGACATGCATGGTTTGGGCATAATCTTTAGCTGAACTTGTGGTAGCAGAACGTTCTTGTCCCCCTTGTCAGTCTATTCGAAAATGTGTTCGGAGAGCATCTCAGCCGCAGTCTCTTTGGAGCTTCACATTTATTTCAGTTTCTCATTACCTCAGACAGAGCATTGATCCTCTTAAGAATTAGTTGGGGGGTGTTTCTTTTTTTTTTTTTTTTTTTTTTTTTACACCACTTAAAATTCATTGGAGTCCAAAACCTTTCTTTACTTTATTTCCGCGGTATCTTAATAGGTCCCATCTCCCAAGACACAGGGAGTCACTCTGGGCGAGGATCAGCGGTGTCGACAGAACTCGCCGGCACCTCGAGAGGTCAATGAATTTTCATGTAACATTTG